GGAGAGAGACATGGGTACCCCAGGTTTGGATATGATCCTGCTGCTAAACAAGCTGTGAGGCCTGGAGCCAGGCCCTTGCCTGCGCCCTCGTCTCTCCTCTTGACAGGAGGTTTTGGGTGAAGTGTGTCCAGGGCTTGCTTCCTCTGCTTGGTGTCTGTGCTGCCCCTGCTGGCTGGGCCACAGTGCTCAGGCCGCTGAATGCCTGAAATCTGGTTTTTCACCTCACTGTTCCTCTACTTTTTTGGTGGAGAGGAGGAACCACATGTGTTATGGGGATTCTTCTCCTTAATCACCATGCCCTGGGCTGCCAACACTCTGGTGCCCCTAGTCTACGAGGGAACAGGGAGAGGATGAAAGTGAAAACTCGTAGTGTGGTTTGTTTCCAGTTGTTGCAATTTCCTCTGGGAAATGACAGCGTTTAAACTCCAGTGGTATTTTCTGCATACTCTGGTCCTGGGGAAGTAAAGGAGGTGGGGATGACCTACGATAGGAAGGATCTGATCACTGATTAGGCTCAGGGCTACAGTGTCTTCTGCTCTGTAAATGGATGGGAAACTGGATGCACACTCTGAGCTTATGAAGGATCCCGGAGCTGGCCCAAAGCAGTCAGGTTCTGACACAAGAAGAGTGTCCTGTGTCCTTAAGAGAGGCTCTTCAGAAAGGCTGAGACCTCCTTCCATAAGGATTCACCCAGTTTTCCCCTTTATCGGAGGCATCTGTGATGCCAGATTCATCACCAAACCCAATCGTGATGGTGAAGAAACAGCTCATCAGAAGGGGGAAACGGGTCTTAATACCAGCCACTGAGTAACACTCAGCTGAATGAGCTTCAGATACACAAAGTGGGAGAATCACGTCGGGGTTTTCAGGAAACTTCCAAAGCTGCACTGGTGAAGTGGAAGAAGCACAGGCCAAGCAGTCAGGGGAGAGTGACAGGTGAGAAAGCCTTCAGGCCACAGTGACAGGTGAGAGAGAATTGCTTTGCAAGTAAGACCAAAGTCCAGGTGGGCACAGTCCCCCCATTCCAGAGCCGAGTGTGGATCACCCAGAGCTTGAGACAAGCCAGGTGGCCTCCCTGGACAGAGAGGGGCCACGGACAGCCCCATGTTCCTGAGGGCTAAGAATCCTACCAAAGGCAGCTGCCAGGGAGTTTCCCTGCCAGGAGCTCCTGAGACAGAGCCCAGTGGAGAGAGGGGCCAGGCCCGGAGGGGAATACAGTGAGGTGAAAGGCTCGGGGCTCAGTGCGGGCATGCAGCTGGCACCAGCCCGTAGGTGGTGGGTAGTTAAGCTGCTGATAGTAAAACAAATGGTGGGGATATCAGCGGAGTGCCATACCCTTTGTGGGGCACTTGTCCCTCTTGGTCACCTCAAAGAAAAGTGACTTTGCAGACACCTGTGCACCTCTCTTTACAAGCAGGATTCAGTCAGCCATGCATCATCCACTGTTAGCCATCACTGTATCATCACCACTCCCTGAGATACCACTACACAGAGGCACCCAGTGGGGAGGCTATGGGACACCTGGGAGGTTGGTGAGGGACCCAAGTTCACGGGAAGTGACCCAGCTGTGGTGCCAACAGGTGCTCCACAAACATCTAGGTGTGTTGGGGGCCAAGGGGTGGAGAGGGAGGAGCTAGCCACACACCTGTCTCTTAAGAATGATTTAGATTTTCCGAAAGCCACACCTAGAAACAGGTTGTTTTGAGAGCAGCTCTGAACCAGTGACTTTAGTTTCACGTTATGTTAATCAGAGGAATCAGCTGGAGTAAAGACTTAGGAATCCCTGTTTTTATGTCCTCAGCAAAGAGAAGCCCACAGCAAGGACAATCTTCAGAGCTCAGCCTCAGAGAGGTAGAGCATACCTGGGCAGGTAATGCGAGGCGGCTCCCCTCCACCAGAGCTATTGTGTCATGGGCCAGGGCACCCAGGCTCTGTCAACTCGGCCACCCTGACACCTCCTCCAAAGTGAAAGTAGCACTTTTACGCATTTTAACATTTTCCATGCATTTTAGGATTTCAGCTTCTCCCTTCCTCTCTCAGACGCTAGTGAACCAAGTGATGATAAACTGATAAAGTCCCATATTTCCACTTAGGCTGATTCATGTTCCCTCTTCATTTTTAGTAGAATTAGAAATACCTACTGTTTATCCCCAGAGCTACTTCAGCTATTAAGCAGCTTTATTCCTACTTAAGCTTTAGCCATCTTAGCCAAGATTAAAGGCTCAACCACAGGGCAGGGCTCCTCTGTCTGCTCACCTGGCCACTCATGCAAAGCTTTCCCAGGACTGAGTGGACCAGCTCTGAGCCAGGAAGCCCAAGCTCCCATTCTCCTCCTTACGCATGTTTCTGCCTGTTCTCCATGTTGTCTATAAGCAGGAGTAGAGGGAGATCAAGACAATGGCGATCTTAGGGTTTCTGTGTAGAACCCCCTTCCTCACGGGTTTTAGCACTGGACCTCAGTTGAGTTTCTGCGTGCCACGTGGCCTCACCCTCCCCAGTTGTCACCTGAGTGTGACTGCAGAGATCCATTCACCTAGTGGTTCTCAACTAGAGATCCATTCACCTAGTGGTTCTCAACTAGGCAGAGTCTCTTGACCTGGGGAGCCCCTAATCTGTTGAAAGGTGCCTCCATACTTGGACAGCTCAAAGAATGAAACCAGCTGGGCTGTATCAGGGACTCTTAGTATTTGGTCAATGAATGTAGAAACTATCGTTACCACGGGGGTGCTGGAGGTTGAGCAGGTGCAGCTCTGATCCTAGGAAGGCCCCAGGAGTCACCAGCCTGAGAAGAGGAAGAAGTTACAGCTAGCAGAAATTCTAGAGCCTGGGGTTGGGTCGGAGTGGGATAAGCTTGGGGTGAAGGCAGCTGGAAAAGCCTTCTGGTTCAGGAGATGAGGGGTGTGCTTGTGGCCTAGGAAGGAGGGAACGGCCATGCCCAGATGTCTGGGTGGAGTGGAGGAAAAAGTTTATTCCAGAAGAGGAATTAGCCACTAGAAAACTCTGAAATAAGAGAGGGGTGAGGTGTGGTTGATGAAAGCAAGCAGGTTTACCCAGATTAGCAACAAGTCAGAGAGGGGGGAGGGGTAGGGGAGGGGTGATAAGTAAGTAATTCTGAATGTTTTAATTCAGTGGAGTTGGGAGAAAGATGGAAAAAATGAATGCAAGGGTCTTGGGTCCCCCGGGTGAGGAGTCTATCTCGAATCTGTCAATTCCCTGATCTCAGTCACCCACTTTTATGAGGCAGGCAACTCATGCCCAAATAAATTTCTCTATTCCCTTCCCTTCCTGCATCATATGCCTGAATGTTTGCCACCCCTGGAACAGCATCTCAAGGCAAAAGAGAACAGGAAGAAGACCAGGCCACAAGAGGACTCGGGTCTTCCCCAAGACTCCCCAGGATTAACTCACTAAACCTTCCAGTAAGCTTATGGTTCACCCTCTCCCAACACGAGTCCTCCACCTGGGTCTGAGGAAAAGGGTGGCAGCGGGAATTAGACCTGGATGACATCATTTCACACAGCCAGTGCCAAAGAATATCCAGTGGGTGGTTTTCATCACAAAAGCTGAGCCAACAGGTAATTGAGGGGAGTGGGGTGAATCATGTTTGACAGGTAAGGAATGAAAACAGGGGGGCCCGGGGTGATTCTATTTCCTTGAGGCAGGGCTCATTCATCATATAAAAAGCCAGCTGGCCATTGACTGCACACCAGACCTGAGCGCCTAGACAGCCAGATCTTCCCCGTGGACGAGGTGAGTCTTTGGTGGGCTCCAACATCAAGAGCCTGTTTGTGTTTTTCATTATTAGGAACTGGAAAAAAAGTAAACATGTGTAAGAGGCTAACACAGTGTGCAGTTTGGGAGGGAGGATGTTGGGATATATTTGACTTAAATGACAGTGTAGTTTGGATTTGAAGAGAGCTCAGCAGTACCTTAGACAGCCCCCACTGCAGACAGCTGCACAAGCGGAAGTCACAGAGTGGGGCAGAGCTGTGCCAGTCGCCACCGAAACTTAACAACTGGAGGAGGACTAGGACTCATGCCCAGGTCACTCTCAGCAGCTACTATTCTTTCTAAGTATGATACTTAAAAAAAAAAAAATTAATTCTTGAGATCAACCTCTGCTGAGGATTATATATAAGACTCCATGTCAGGCACTTTGGATAAGCCAGACTGACATGACACTTGTTTAATAAGCATATAACCTAGCAGGGAAGATAATGCAGAAATAGATGAAATGCAAACGAGATAGTAGTTGGGGTGAGGCGGGAGGGTGAGGGCAGTGGTGGTTTGGGAAAGATTTGCTCTGTAACAGCTCCCAGGACACGTGATATGAAATATGCTGCAGGAATATTTGGACAAGCAGAGGTGGGAAGGGAGGCATTTCAGAAGAAACAGTACAAGGAAAGGCCAGAGGAAGGTCACAGGTGCTTAGATCTTTCCAGAGCCATCACACAAGTGCAAGGTGTGGCAGTAGGAGGAAGAGATCACTTTCCAGAGGACCTAATCTGTGGCCTTGGGAACTTATCAATGAGGGACATGTCTGGGGAAAAAGAGAGCCAAGAAACAAATCCCACTGGGGGGAGCAGAACCCAGTCCCCTTAAGCTCCTCCTCTCCAATGGGCACAGGAGCTATCAAAGCATGCTCTACTCCAAGTGTAAGGGGACAGTCAGGAGAGAAGAGTCTCTCTTCTAAAGGGGCCTGACCAAAACTTATTAGACACTGCAACTGGCGTCTTCCTGCTTAATCAAACCACTGAATCACCTGCTCTCTCTCTAGGTCCAGCCTCCTTTGAAGCATGAGTTCCCAGCAGAAGCAGCCCTGTACCCCACCGCCCCAAATTCAGCAGCAGCAGGTGAAACAGCCCTGCCAGCCTCCACCCCAGGAGCCATGTGCCCCCAAAACCAAGGAACCATGCCACCCCAAGGCTCCAGAGCCCTGCCACCCCAAGACACCAGAGCCCTGCCACCCCAAGGCTCCAGAGCCCTGCCACCCCAAGGCACCTGAGCCCTGCCACCCCAAGACACCTGAGCCCTGCCACCCCAAGGCACCTGAGCCCTGCCACCCCAAGGTTCCTGAGCCCTGCCCCTCGACCGTCACTCCAGTGCCTGCTCAGCAGAAGACCAAGCAGAAGTAATGTGCTCCACAGCTGCACCTTGTGGGGAGAGACCCCTGGGGTTGACCGCCGTTCCCATCCTGCTATGAGTCCCACTTGCTGTCAGCACAGTCAGCCCGAGTCCTGGCCCCACCTTCTTTGTACCCTTTGTACAGTCTCTCTGGAGGCCCCTGAGCCCCTGAATAAGGCTGACGTTCTCACTTGCTGAGCTGCTTTTCTAGCTGCTCAGAGCTTGTCTGAAGAGGGTCGCGAGGGGTGAGGAGTGGGTCAAGTGAATCATCTCTATCCTGTCCCATTAAATCACTTTTAACTCCATTGCCCACTCAGTGTTCTTCATTGTTCTGTCAACGTGCAGCAGCTACTGTGGAAAGTGAGGGCGGGTATGAGGGCTGTGGTCAGGAAGGCCTGATCCAGGCTCCACGGGAGTACGTGTGCCTGTGTGTGTGTTTACGTCTGTGTGCGTCCATGGCGGGGGGGTAGGGGGAACACTCACCGCACCCTTCTTGGCAGGCAAGTGATGGGCGAGCAGACCAGACTCCCAGGGGAGCCTCAGCCAAAGCAGAGCGTTCTTCTCCCTGAGTGAGTCAGAATTGAGTGTAGATGGAGCCTGGTTCGAGCCAGCCTTGGTTCTGTGTCCTTGACCCCAAGTCGCCTTGTTTTATTCAGCTGATTCCTTTAGCATAATTATTTCAAAGAAATAGTGCTCATATCTATCCTAACATGATTAACTATTTTTCCTGCATCTTTCTTTCCTAATGCTCCCAACACAGGAGCCAAGCTTGTGGCACTCACAGGTAAGAACACACGCATACAGACACACACAGACCTGCCCACGCATTCACACACACAATGCTACACACACACACACACACACATGCCAATTAATCCCCTTGGGTTTTTCTTTCACTGAGCGCCCAGTGAGAAGACCCCAACCTGAAGCAGGAAGATCCCACAGTGCCAGCCTACAAGAGGCCTCAGAGGGCTGCTCTCCACCCACCACTCAGAAACAGCACTCTCCCCCCTTACCGAGACCCCTAGTGGGTGCCTGAAACCACATGGCACCAAACAGGATACAGTAAGAATTTAGCAATAACTAATAATAAAATTGAACAATAATCACAATATACTTTGATAAAACTCAAGTGTATAGGAGGCCTTTCTCTCCTTGCCAGCCACACACATCTCAGGTACCTCTCAGTCAAGCATAAAAGCAAATGCATCAAAGATTTTAAGCAAGAAAAGTTTTGGCAGGTTTCAGAAGGAATAAAAGTAAATAGGGATAAGATAAAAACTCAGGATAGTGTAGAGGGAAGGAGGTCATTAAGATGTAAAAGATAGGGAGAAAGGAGACTTATAGAGCACCTAGCACAACCCTTTAGATAAACAACCTGATGAACCTAGGAAGGGGAAGATAATTCATTAAAGCCTCCCAGAAGTCCGGTCTCTGCACACACCACACCCAGGCCTCTGGTCAGAGCCTCACCCTCTTCTGGCTCTGCAGTCTCCTTGACCCTGCTGGTGAGCAGTGGGTCTGAGGGGCCCTGTCAGTGGCTCAGTGATTCCAGGAAGCTGTGGCCAGAAGCTGAGAGGCCAGCAGAATTTCCAGAGTGGCCACTGGGGAGCTGCCTGCCTCATGCCCGTCTGAGGTTGTAGCCCATCCCCCTCATCGATCTATGGGGTTCCCTTCCCAGCAACCACAGAGGCCCCTCTCGGGAATTCTCTTGGGCTCCTGGCCACGGCAGGCAGCGCCTGTGAGGTGCACCACTCCAGTCAGCTTGGAAAGAACTCGTGAGAGAAAACCACACCCTCCTGATGCAGGCCTCCAGGGCCTCACCTTCAGGAGCTGAGACAGACAAATCAGAACCCTGGATATTGTCATTGTCTGGGGTAGAACCAGAGAGAACCCAGCCAGAGCCAGAAGAGATGAGACGGCAGGAGGAGAAGTTGTGTGTGGGGGCCCCAAGGGGATCCGTGACCTCCATCTGCACTACTCCAGGGACTGAGGAGCTAGGCCCAGCCCTCATGCCCAACCTGCCTGCAGCCTGAGTGTGGCTTCCTCCTTACCACCGTCAGAAGAGAACATCAAGGGAGGAGTTAGCCCATAAAGTCCTACAGGAAACCCCCGGTCCTGGACAACAAGGAAGTCTCCAGCACTGTGACTGAAGACCAAGGGCAGCACTGGAAAATAAAAAGAAAGGACACAGGAGAAACAGGGCCAGCCACTTATTGGGGTCTCCTTTTCAAATTCGCCGACATTGGGTGGGAGTTGGGTTCCCAGCAGCAGAATTATAAGACCCTAAAGCAGCTTCTTGTGACCATGCGCAGAATGGAAGGACAGTCAGTTTGGATGAGAACCCAGAAGCCAGCCTGGGACAACCTATTGCTCAGGAAGCTCTAGAATCGGGAGTCTGAGCAGACAGTCTCTGCACCTGCCTCCAGGTTCCTGACGTGCTCTGCCTTACAGCCTGCCTCTTAGTGTAACAAGGTGGTCCCCAGGAAAAGGGGAAGTTCCAGATTCCCTGCCCCACTCCCCAGAAGGAGGGTGGAGCTGAGCAGAGAGAAAGGAGAAAATGGAAGGAATCAGAGGAGAGAAGAAGGAAGCAGGATGGAGAGCCAGAAGGAAACCTGAGGAAGCCACATCACAGCAAGCATGTGATGAAGAAACTGCTTGTTTCCTGGCCCTGGACTGGTTAAGGCAGATGTGGGTGAGATACCTGTAGGGAGGTGACTACGGCAGTGTTTATATTGACTTTGATTTTGCTCTTTTCCTCCCAGACTTGTCTGGCCATTTCTGACCCTTTCCCATGGGTCCCGGCCAGAAGGTGCTTTAGTCCTGTGGCGGCTTTCAGGCCTTGCTTTGGGCCAATCCCTTTGGGGTTGACTTTTGCCCACGAGGGGATGGGTAGCTTCAGGTGTTTGATTTAGACATTACATCCTTTGTCTTCTGTATTCTATACTCACTGTATTAAAGTCCCTTTTCATTAAAGTTTTATATATTTTGCCTTGATGCAGCGGATGGCAGAACCCACTTAGAGCAGGCAAGTTTGGGGCTTCAGGGGTGCCCCTCTCTCCCTGTCCTGTAACATTAGTTCTCCCGGTGGCCTGAGCAGCCTTGTGTGCTGCAGTCCAGCAGCACAGGTACTTGTTCAAGGAGAGGACCAACCAGGACGAGGATCGGGCTGCTGGGCTGATCAAGAGTTGAGAATGTGTGTGGGAGTGGGGGGAGGGGCGTGGGGTTCAGGATGAGGAAAGGAAGTGCACGGAGGAATGAGGTGATGGGCCACAGGTGATGTTAGGATGGGGGGACTACACCAAGGGGAGGAGCCAATTATTGTAGCAAATTTAAATAAACAAATATGTAAAAAAGAAAGTTCCAGAGACACTTGGAGACTACGAGACAAAAATAACCCAGGAAAGCTTTGTAAGTTGGTGAGTCATTATCATATTGTCAGGGGAGGCTGATGTCAATTGAGTCATAAGAGGAGATTTCCAATTGCAGCTCATCGTCATGAGGGAAACGTCACAACATCTCTAGGACTGGAAAGAGACTGGTGACTGCTGGCAACATTGGTGACATATGGGTTAGGAGTAAAAAGCCAAGGGAGCATCTTGAGCAAAATGAGTCTTAATCCTAAATATCTGCATGACACTGAAAACTGTGCATTTGTTTATACACAGATGTATTGATGAGGATAATTACTTCATTTTATACAGAATAGCTAAATAGCCATAATAACAATATGAGAGGAAAGCAACAAAAATTCCCAAAACAAAAAGATAGGAAAAGTCATTGGGTCTCTATGTGATGGGATGCACTGCAATCACAAAATAATATTTAATCATATGGAAAAATGTTCAGACAACACCAAGCTATTGTAAATTAGTGTGGTATATAACACACAATTATATATTCATTAAAATGTGTATGGATATTGGCTCTCCCTGGTGGCACAGTGGGTTGAAGCACCACATTATGAAGTTCTCTGAAGCCACTGCAGCATGAGTTCAATCCCTAGCCAGGGAGCTGACCCACATGGCGCAGCAGACCTCTCCTGACCCACCCGCTGCTCCCCTCAGCAGTGTATTTCAGTCTCTCTATCTGTCCTGCCCCCCACTCTCTCTCTGGTGAATCCTCTCATCCACCACACCTCTGGCCTGTACCCCAGTTCTGTAAGCATAAATAAATAATTTTTTTAAAAAGTGTGTATATTATATGTAGATTTTATATTTTTATAAATTTTATAAAATCTGGCAGTAAAAAAGCAAAATATAAACAGTGGCTATGTTTGACTAAAGAGTAAAAGGTATTATTAATTTTTTTT